GGGGAAGCACGGGGACGAGGATTCACGTGTTTAGGTACAACATTGACGGAGACAGAAACCCGGTTTTCGATTTTAAAGAAGGATTGGAGAGCTTGAAGGTCAATCCGGGATTGTCGGCGTACTCTGAGGATCTGGAAGGAGCTGCGGATTTGTTGAAAGAGCTTTTGGAGTTCGGGAGAAGTAAGGTTCCGGAAAGCCAATGGGGAGAGACGGAGATTAGGTTAATGGCGACGGCGGGGTTGAGATTGTTGGACGATGAGGTGCAGGAGAGGATTTTGGAGCAGTGCAGGAAGGTGCTTAGGCTGTCTGGTTTTAAGTTTCGCGACGTCTGGGCTTCGGTTATTACAGGTAATATATTGTGCTTTGCTTTGAGTTATTTTATTGAGACAATGTGGGGAAAATTTTGATATTATTCAGAATGGAACAGCAGTGGGTAAGTAGTAAAAGGTAGTATACTTGGAGTTGGAAGCTTACATGTTGTATGAACAGGCCTAGAAATGCTAATCGGATTCAGGTAGTATAATTGCTCGTTGAATCGGCTCTTGTAGTATCAATGCTGGAATTTTTACAGTCCAAATGGTTGTAGTTTCTGACCCATATTTGAAGCTAAGTTTGGATGTTTGATTGGTTTAGGCTCTGATGAGGGAGTGTATGCTTGGGTTGTTGCAAACTATGTCTTTGGTACTCTTGGAGGTAATCCTCAGCATACTACTGGAATAATTGAACTTGGCGGGGCATCTGCTCAGGTTTGTTTTTAATCTTTAATCTTCATTGCTTCTAGTTTTTTTTTTTGAATCTTTCTTTATTGTTGGGATATAGTTGAAATGAATTTTTCCATGCCAGAATTTGCAAGTCATCCGAGCTTCTAATTAGTGACATTACTTACTAGTGTTCCTTGAAGCTATTTCTTGTGTATACTTGAAACAACAAAATTATTCGAATATTAAGAAGAGGGAAAAAAGGTTAAAAGATTCTAGAAGCAATACTTTTTGATTAATTTCAAATGCATTTAAGGGCATATATGCCCTTTGCTTAAGATTATCATTGAATTAGCTGCTCGACTTATATTTCAGGTGACCTTTTTCTCAACTGAGCCTATGCCTTCTGAATTCTCACGCTCCATCAAGTTCGGGAATTTCACTTACAGTCTCTATAGCCACAGCTTTCTTCACTTTGGTCAGGTAACTTTAGCATGCATTAGATTCTTTTATTTATTTATTTTTCTGGTTATGGTTGCTATGCACATGTCTTCTATATGCAGGCATCTTATTCAACAAGAACGGCTTAGTTAAAATTAAATGGAATGAGAATATATATTTCTGAAAGTAGATAGTAATGATTGACTGTCCTTCTGCCAAGTGTTTTTCTTCAATCCTTAAAAAAATTTGCAGATTATCTAACTTCTAATTAATGTTGATACTATTTCAATATGGTTTTACAATTTATTTTTGCAGTATCTCATTACAGATTATGTGAGAAATCCGAAGTTAATCTAGGAGTTTTTAACTTTTGTGATCTTTACAGAATGTTGCGCGCAATTCATTGAGGGAATCACTTATTAAAGGAGATTTCAGTCCAGGTATGTTTCAAGGAATTTGCTTTCTCTTAAAATTTGCGGGCTTAGAAGTGCTCGAAGAAGTCTTAGAGTTTTTTAATTGTGCTTTGAACTCAAATTAGGAATTTTAATCACCTAGTTGTTCTTAAATCATCTCTTCGAGTCTCGCAATGTTAAAGCTTGAGGAAGAGATCAAAATTTGAGTATGGACACTGCTTGTATATTACAGTTTTGAGTATTTAGCCATTATAGAGATGGTGTGGAGTTACTAGTTAGTTAAGTTATTATGTCTTTATTGTTCATTTGTTATTCTTACCTCTATGCAGCTGCCGAGTCTATTCATAAGGAAACATATAGATCCTTGTACACCAAAAGGATACTTGCCCGATTCATCAAACCTTTCGTTAGGTTCTAAGGCTGAAAAAAGTAAATATGTTTCTGAATTTCAAGCTAGGGGTAACTTCTCTGAGTGCAGATCTGCTGCACTAATGCTATTACAAAAAGGAAAAGGTTACAAACTATCTTAGAACCACCACATTTATTACATTACATTATGCCATTGGATAATAATCACTATGTATATTCTGTCATGCAGAGAAATGTTCCTCTGGTCTGTGTTACTTGGGATCAGTTTTCATGCCCAAGCTTCAAGGCAAATTTTGGCTACAGAAAATTTCTTCTATACCTCAAAGGTATGATTATAATCAGTCCTTTTCTTCAGCGTTATGCTTCTTGACCCCACCTTCCCCCTCTTTCCCTTTCTCCCAATTCTTTTATGCCGAACTTGGATGATTTTACATGACATCCTAAAGCTGTGTAATATATGCTTGGGGTGCATGCCTTATATTTCTTTCTTTGTATCCTCCTGCTGGAGTAGTTCTTTAGGTTGCACCAAAAGGGCTCTCTTTCTGATCTAATAATGGCGGGCAACGTTTCTGTGAAGAAGATTGGTCAAAATTGAAGAAGAAACACCCATCACTCGATGAGGAAGATCTGTTGCGCTACTGTTTTTCTTCAGCATATATTGTGGCTTTACTTCACGATAGCCTTGAAATTGCTTTGGATGATGAAAGGTATCTTTTCTACTCTGCTAGTTAACTGTACTCAAAAGGAAACGGGAACCATGGCTTTCCTCCATATGAAAATATTAAATTGGCAGTCCGTCTATAGTTTTATTTGTTCTCTGAACAGAAATTCAATCTGGAACAGGCTCAGCTTTGCTAATCAGGTCAATGATATACCATTAGATTGGGCCTTGGGAGCTTTCATATTGCAAAGCGCAACCAACTTGGATGTGCTGCACACCAACTGGATAACGAATATTATCAACAGTGATTCGACAATATTTTCTGTCATTGCCATCTCCGTAATATTGATGTTCAGTGTTTGGTCTATATCAAAATGGAGGAAACCCCAGCTGAAGACCGTGTATGATCTCGAGAAAGGAAGATATATAGTTACACGTATCAATCGAAGCTGATCTATCATAGTCTGGACAGGATTGAACCCTATGATTTTTTGAATCCAAGGAGGAGAGTTCCTTTTTTGAGGGTATTACTTTTTACGCTTCCTTGGTTTCTGCCCCACCTTAAGGGCATCATCATGGCAGTGGGACATGTAAGATCACAATACCATGGAGTTCCAACATATGAAACTTTATTGTAACATATTCATGGCCGGGGAACTAGGATAAAAGATTATTTTAGATTTCCAATTTGTATCAACCGGAACCAAAACCCTTATTTTATTACCACTTGCCTATTCTATAGGAAGATGTAATTGTAAGGAGTATGATGGGTCAGTTGCAGGGTGAGTTTCCTTGTGCTGTCTCGACTTAGGTGAGTGATGAATATGGCGAAGTGGACAAAGTAAGTGCATGTTTATTTTTAATATATTTGAACCATCACATTCTAACTTATCTGTCTAAATATATTTCACAAATAAATGTTACATTATTAAGTAAAATTCTTTTATTGCTAATTCATGAAAAATAACATCAACTTATGTGCTAAGATGTGACCAAAAAAATAACATTCCCACCAAAGTATAGATGATTATCCTAAATGTTTAATGTATAGGATATGAATTTATTTTCATAATCAACTTTCTCCCATGATTAATGGTATTTATAAATTTTTGTTAGAATTTATTTGAACAAAATGAGCTTATTTATTTAATTGCAATTTAACCTTTTCTCATAAATTATTAAAAAATATATTTACCTATACGGGTGTGAACTTCAAATTTAAATATACGATAAACTACATCATATACTGTTAAATTTTAGGTGTATCATTTATATTATTGAATTTTTAATTGTTCTAATTATAGCATGAATTTTAGTTTTGACTTCAATTATATCATTAGGGTTATAAAATCCAAATGGCCTAATAATATGGACAAAACAATATTGTTTTTGGTGAAACTATTGATGTTGAAGACGATATTGTTTTAAGCATAAAGTTTAAGTGTCTATAAATTTTGTCATTAAACTTTTAAATAATTCATTTTTAGACACTATATTTTTTTTATTGTCACTAGTAGTGAATTATTGTCCGTCACTAGTTGTTATTCACAATAAGATTGATATTAAAATTTTTGTATTTCACTTCCTTTCTTTATCCTATAATTAATTTTCTACGAAACATACTCAAAATTGAAAAAATTAAATCAAAATATAATCATTTTATAGGTTTAAGAGACTTCTCAAATTTGAGAGGATTAGAATATTCGTTCAAAAACTCAAATGATAAGAAGCATTATTTCGAGAAGAAAAACAAATCTCAAAACTAGATTAATTGGAAGGTCCTCGAAAAAGATGAGAGTATTAGCATTACGAACCTATAGATGATTTTTTTTCAATTTTAAATAAATTTTGTAGAAACATATTTCGATGAAAAGAAAAATGACTGAAATATGAATATTTTGATATTTACCTTACCACAAATGGTGATCAATGATGGGTAAAGATTGAATGCAAGAATAAGCTAAAAATATTAATTGCTTAAAATTGAATCATTTTAATGTTTAACGACAAACTTGATACATTCTTAGAGTTTAATTTTAAAATAATATTTTATTATCAACATCATCATTGTGATAAAAAGATTAATCTACATCATTATAATGTTAAAATTTAACGATCATGTAATATAATTAAAGTAAAACTCGTAATATAATTAAAGTTAAAATTAAAGTTTAATGTCATCATTACAACAATTGAAAGTCAATGATGTAAGGACTAAAATCTAGTTAGTTTATTCTTAAATATATATATATATATATATATATATATTACTTTATCATAATAAATAAATAAAAAAATTCAAGCAAAAACGCGTTTGCAGTCGAAAGAAGCTTAATTAGAAAATTTTCTATCCTATTTTTCTTGGTTCCTCTAGGAAACGCGAATTCCCCATTTTTTAGCTGAAAGGTAAATGTTTTGAGGATTTGGTTCATTTTTTTGTTGCCCTCTTATCAGATTCCTTTCTTTTTCTTTCTATTCTCTCATTTGTTCGGAAACCTCCGACCCGCCGCTCTTTCTCAGTGCGATCCCGGGTCTCCCTTTACAATTATGTTTTCCATATCATATTGAAGATTTATTTTTGGTTGAATCGTTGAAGTAGCTGAAAGAAATTGGGAAAAATATTTTTTTTTGTTAAATTTGTAGAAATTATGAGTGATCACTTGGTGTTATATGTGGATCGTCTGGTGAGGCCGGTGCCCGTGCACCAAGTGGAATCGGAGGCTGGTCCCTCGACGGAGATTTCGGCGGAGGAAAAGGAGAAGGAGAAAGATAAGGAAGTTGTCCAAGGAGGCGAAGATGACGAGGACGAGGGAGAGGAGGAGGACCCGCTTATTCAGGCGGTGGAGTGTCGCATTTGTCAGGAGGAAGATTCCATTAAGAATCTTGAGACTCCTTGTGCCTGCAATGGCAGCCTCAAGGTAATTCGTTTCTTTTATTTTGTTGTTAAATTGATCGTTTTTTGGCTCTCAGTTTAGCAGACCTTATAAATTATGCTAATTTCTCAATCAGCGTTTCTTTAAGGTAATTTCTCAGTTTTATATGTTCTGAATTGCAGTATGCGCATAGGAAGTGCGTGCAGCATTGGTGCAACGAAAAAGGAGATATAGTTTGCGAGATATGTCATCAGGTATCTACTTCCGTCAATCCTATATGTATATATATACACGCACACACATACATACATACATATTCTATGAGAAATACGCATGAGCTTACTTGCTACTCTTTTCCTTAAAGAATTGGAAGTTCGCCAATTTTGAGTAAGTAGTTGTGAATGACTCTCGAAGAGGGCGAATCGTTTGCTTTTATGATGAAGTCTGGCAGAGTGAAAAAAAAGGCAAAGAATATGAATTTTGGAGTGTGTTTTGTAGGAAAGATATTTATTCTTCTCCTAATGCATAAAAATGATTCATTCCGAATTTGAATGATAATAGACGGGAAAAAATGGAAGAGTTGTGAGTTAAGCTTGTGTATTTAGGAGATTATCTATTACTTACAAATGCTATAGTTGGTACTTGGTTGTTGTGGCTCCTTGTTGATATGGTCTGCCTTTAATTTACTGTGCAGCCTTATCAACCTGATTACACTGCTGTACCTTGTCGCCGAACTGAAGAAACAGCTATTGATATTGGGTAAGTTTGATTTTCTCACATGTATCAGTTTCTTTATGAAATGATTTTGGGTGGACCTTTCCTATTGGTAAAATTGAGTGTATGCCATTCGATTTACAAAGTATGATGTCCACTAGAAATTTTGATCTAAACTTGTTAGAAAGCAATTTTCTATGATCTGTTTGGAAGATTCCATCATAATGATTGCATATCTGTCTTGTAGAGGCTGGACAATCTCTGGCACCCCTCTGGATTTGCATGATCCTCGCATTTTGGCCATTGAGGAGGCAGAACGCCAATTTTTGGAAACCGGGTATGATGAATATGCTGCATCAAGTGCCACTGGAGCTGCCTTCTGCCGTTCAGCTGCTGTAATTGTAAGCATTTAGTTACAAATCAATCATCTGAACATACTGAATTTCATTCAAATCATGTTTAGCACGGACTCTAAAACACCTCATTTAAGCGAGTTTTAACATTTTTGCGTAAAGTTGGACCACCATCAATTTAATTTAGAAATACATATAATCATGTTCAAGGAATCGTTTTGATAAATTAATTTGGAGAAAAGAGCTCTGCTAAGGTGTATTAGCTTTTAACTGGAAGATCTTTATGTTCTTAGGAGAAATTTCTGCTCTCATTTTTCCCCGTTTGGAAACAGAGGGGAAACTTAGTATTACAGTTTTATGTATATTTTTTGGATTTAGCTCCTAATTTCCCTCCTCTCATCATGGTAAATTTGAGCCATAACAGCGGTGGTGCTATTCCACTTGGGCCACAATGGCTGTGGCATTCTTAGTTGATTTTCATGTCAACAACTTTCCTTTTCATTGCTTCGCTGTCTGATGGAAAACCATCCAGATTCTACCTCAGCCTTAAGCACTCTCCTTTGAAAATTTTCATGTCAATAACTTTCTTTTGGTTCTTTCTTAAAAGATAATTGGAAAAAAAAAGAGTTCATTTGTTACATGACAAGACCCAGTTAAAACTAAGAGTTGTTTTTTTTCCATTATTCCAGTTAATGGCACTTCTGCTGTTGCGGCATGCAGTGACTGTCCCCGATGCTGATTCGGATGAGAACGTGCCTTCATTTTTCTCTGTAAGTTTATACTTAAAGAGTTGTATTTTCACCTATGTACTTCTTAAGCATTTAGCTTACCGTTATCATACCATAGAGACATTTATTTCTTAAAACTGCTTGGTTTCTTACAGTTCTTCTTGCTTCGAGCCGTCGGCTTTCTGTTACCATGCTACATCATGGCTTGGGCGATCAGTATATTACAACAACGAAGGCAAAGACAGGTTATCATCCCATTACTTCACAAAGACTCTTTTTTTTTAAAATTTCATCTATCCTTCTTGCTTTTCTTCGGACCTTGTTATCGAAACTCCTACGTTATCCGTACCAGGAAGCAGCGGCGTTGGCCGCAACCCAGGTCGCTTTTGTACTACAATCTGGGCAAAGTAGGGGCATGCATTTTGCCATAGCACCGGGACCTGCGGCGACTCCCTACCTGGAAAACGTTTAACTTACAGGAAACCACTATGAAGTCCTGCACTGACATTATATTACGTTGATAGTTTATGAGCAAACGAGGACAGTTGCCCCCTATCAAAGAACTTGTGTAAAAGCCGTTAATTTATTTCCTTTTATATACTTTTTTTGTTATGCCCAAATAGATTGTCGAGAATGATTTGGAGCTTTACCATTTCCTGTTTTAATGCGTTGTTGTAAAATTTTGCTTCATCTTGTCACAGTACTTCAGCTCTAGCCATTGAATGACTTGTGAGTTCGAGTCGAGTTTGCATCAACGGGCGTGTGTAGAGGCGCCGAAACCCGAAGCCCGAAACCTAGTAGGATGTACTCGAATTCGTTCTCAATTTTGATTTAATAAGGATACTCACAAAAAGGAATAAGTGAAAAACTCATATGTTAGCAATTGAAATTATTGTATTATAGTCGTATTTAAATAATGTTGAAAAATATCTTTTTAAAAAATCAAAGGACTATCAGTGCTATTTTTCAATATTACAAGAACATTGAACTAATATTAATTTAAGGGTAAAGTATATAAATGGTCCCAAACAATAGGGTGATGTTTTATTGAGTTCTCTGACTATTAAAAGTTACAAAATGGTCATTTGACTATAGAACGCTATTTTTTAAGTCCTCTTGCTATTAAAAGTTACAAAATGGTCGATTAACTTTTTATTATGTTCCAAACTAGTCATTTCTTGTTAAAAAGTTGATGACAGTTTGAGTTGGATGGTAACCTGCTGACATAGATATGATATAATATGAATCCAGAATTTCAACCGACTATCATATCCCAGTCAACAACTTTAACGTCCAACTCAAACTACCATCAATTTTTTAACGAAAAAAGGACAAGTTTGAATCACAATGAATAGTTCAATGATCATTTTGTAATTTTTAATAGTTGGAGAAGTTAAAAAAGCAACGACTTTTAGTCAGGGGTCAAATTGTAACTTTTAATATTTGGAGGACTCAATAAAGCAATACGTTATAGTCGAGGGATCATTTGTGTACTTTAACCTTAATTTAATTGAATAATTTTATTAAAATAGTTAACCAATAATGTTATATTAGATATATGTCTTATTAACCTAATACTTATGTTTGCATGCAAATATTCGAAAGAAGTACATAAATGCAATTAGGTGGATGGTGATGAACCACCCAGAATCCCCAAAATAAAAGACTTTGTAAATTGTGATGATAAGTATACATAATAGAAAACAGGGGCGTCCCAATCACTTAAAAAGATAAATGGCTGTGGACCATGGAATCTGGTTCTATAGATTGAAAATGAGTGGTGATGATTGATACAACACGAGGAGTTTCTGCAAGGAAATTAAGGGCTCCTTCTCCTACTTCCATTTGCTGTCATGGGCACTGAATTTGGGCACTTTGAGTACTTAAAACCAACCCCCCAGTTGGGACATTTTAACAAATAATCCTCTTGTTGGTTGTTCTGATAAACACCAGTTGCAGGTGCTGCTTCAAGGAGGAAAAAAAGGTTAATTTGATTCGAATTAATCCGGTTCAAGTTATTTAGCTAATCAAATCCAAGTACTTTAAAGGAAATTTATCGAATCAGTACACGTTCGCCGAGTAACTTAAGGTAATTTTTGTTTCAATCCAACCGTCGAGGCTGACATGATTGTGATCAGACATCGTTTAATCTTAGTGTCTCTGAACATTGAAATCATATTTAGAACTAAAGTCTTGTCATTTTTCGTGCCGTGAACGTGATTAAGACTCGCATCCTCTGGGGCTTGGGGGATTTAATTAGTGTGATCATGTCAAAGTTGTACAAGTTAAGAGACTTCATCTTGACGCCTCTCTACTCTACTAATCTTTAATGAATCATGGCATTAGATTCGTTCCTTGGATTCTAAATAAAAAGGCATGATTGAAGAACAAGGACATAAAAAGACAAAAACAGACCATTAGGAAAGGACCCGACCAAACCATCCCTCTCTTACCCACGTTTTAACCTAATTGTCCTTTTAATCTGTGATTGTCTAGTCCAGTCTTGGTTCATGAATTTCTTTTATCTGTTATAAGATAATTCTTAATCTCTCGACATTAAACGCTCACACCCTAACATTTTAAAGTTAGTAAAGAAAATCGTTTACATGATTCTAATGCGACGTTATATTAATCGATTAATTGAGAAGATGTTAATAATTATAAAAGAAATATGAATGTGAACCGAAGAAAAACATTAGAGCCTGAAATTCAAACAAAAACACATTGATTAACATGTATGAATGAATAGGAGAAACAAGCAGCTGCTATTATTGGGGAAAGGATAAAAACATTACACGATACATGCATGCTCTGCTAATGACTAATTTGTCGCTAAAAAACACAAACAATTGGAATAGCTTTATTAATAATAAAAACATGGCATTGTCTTGCTTTTGCTTTCCGATTAACACGTGGAAGTAGACTACATGATTCATGATTAACGCGTGGAAGTCTAATGAAAGGTAATCCAATTTCAGGTTAAGAAAAAACGTTGCTAAAATTGTTATAAAAATCATAACATTTTAAGTTTGTCGCAAACCAAAATGTTAATTTTTCTTAACATTTTTATATTGAAAACTTTTTTCATAACATTTTCGGTTGATAATCGAAAATATTATGATTTTTATAATATTTTCAACGGCGTTGATTTTCTATCGTTCTTTAACCTTAAATTAGACTACGATACCCTATCTATTCTCGCATTTCTTTCGTATTTTCATGACTTCTACGCTGCTTTAAATCAGTAGAATGATTCTAAAGTGTTACGTATCCAGTTTACCGTATTATTGTTTGGAGTTTAATTACTAAATCAAGAGATTAGAGAAGCTAAGTTCTTAAAATTGAAAGTAAAGAGACTAAATTTCACATAGGACAGAAGTACAGGGACTAAACAAGGTTACATCTGATTATAAATAAATGCATAAATTACTAGATCTAACCATCAACTAAACCTGCTGTCCCAACCAATAGATTTAATCTAGTTAGGCTTGAATAAAGTAAAATTGACATCGGATCAGTTCGGTTTGACTTAAACGCCACTTACTAATTAATCTTTTATTTAAAATTAATATAAAAATTGTTGTTAAAAATAATATTAAATTAATAATAAATGTGGATTTCGAACTGGTTTATTAAGTTCCTGAATTATTAAGATAAGAAAGTTGGTAGGGGACAGCTTCTGTTGTTACGGTGCATTTGGGTGTTTAATTAGATGAACTTGCTCTCCAACACTTGTATTTTCCCTATTTTGATCATTGGCCAATAATAAATATAGTATTATAATATGGTATAATAATAATTTTAGTCCTTAAAATCTATAAACTTTATCAATTAGATCCTAATTCATAAATAATTCAATAAAGGGTAAATTACACCTTTCTTCACTGAACTTTATTCTCTCTCCTATTTTCCTCACCCAACTTTCAATTTGATCAATTTGCTCACTTAACTTTACATATAAAATCATTTTTCTCACTCTGTCGTTAACTATTTAACGGCGTTATCACGTGGCACATGGATCAAAATGACGTCGTGTTGAAAAACTCAAATATACTCCAAAACGACGTCGTTTCGATGAGTAAAATATGAGAGAGAGTAAAGTTAATTGACTCATGGTGTAATTTACCCTTTTTCATTCTCTTCTTCATTTTCTCTCCGCTAGTCACCATATCATTTTCATTTCGGCCACCGTCGACCGTCGTAGATGGTGGTCATTCGGTCCCAAATTTCATGGGTCGGTTTGTCTCGACCCCCTGAGTCCGGATCTGGTGGTTGTTTCACTGGAAAATGTCCCAAACCCGTGAATTTGGACTGAAACGTTTCGGTTTCCTCACTTTCAATCTCAAATTTGTGGACTTCGAAACAAGTTCTGACAAAATGGAGGTCAGATTCGAACTCAATGTGTCTAGATGAATTAACCCATCCCATTTCAGGACCGAAACCACCATATACGACAGTCAACGGTGGCCGACAGTGGCATCCGACCATCTTATGTTTTAATTTCATTTTTTAAATTATTTTATATTAAATAATGATAAAAAATAACATATCATCAGGTGCTAGAGAGAAAACGATCGACTGAGCAAAATGATTCGATTGTAAAGTTTTTCGATGAGTAAAATAGGAGATAGAGTAAAGTTAAGTAACTCATGGTATAATTTACCCTTTTCCCTTCTCTTCTTCATTTTCTCTCCGCCAGCCACCACGTCATTTTCATTTCGGCCACCGTCTCCCAAATTTCTTGGGTCAGTTTATCTCGACCCCCTGAGTCTGAATCTGGTGGTTGTTTCACCGAAAAATGTCCCAAAACCCGTGAATTTGGACTAAAACATTTTGGTTTCCTCACTTTCAATCTCAAATTTGTGGACTTCGGAGCAAGTTCCGACAAAATGAAGGTCGGATTCGAACTCAAGGTGTCGAGTCGAAGCGACCCATCCCATTTTAGGACCGAACGACCACCATCTACAGCAGTCGATGGTGGTCGGTGGTGGAATTCGACCACCTTCTATTTTATTTTTTTTTTAAAAAATATTTTATATTAAATAATAATAATAAAATGCCACATCATTAGGTTTTAGAGAGAAAACGATCGAGTGAGCAAAATTATTCGATTGTAAAGTTTAGTGAGCAAATTGATCAAATTGAAAGTTGGGTGAAGAAAATAGGAGAGAGTGAATAGTTCAGTGAGGAACGGTGTAATTTACCCTTTAAGAAATTTAACATATGTTACTATCGTATTGATGAAAATAAAGAAACTTTAATTAGATTTAGAGGGGGATTGAACATAGGACCTAATATTAGCAACACATTAACCATTATATCAAGCTAACCAATTCTTTCATGGTTAAAAAAAATAGGTTAAGTTGTGGTTGATACAAAATTTTTAAGGAAAATGTGAATTGAGTTTGGAGTGGATTAAACTTGGAATTTAGGATAAGACCATTCGTATCAAGCTAAATAAGTATTAGATGATTGATAAAAATAATGTTTTTGATCAGATTAATAAAATGTACAAATTTTAAGGATTAAAACTATTATTATATCATGTCACATCATTATCTCTATTAAGTATTAAGAAAAGTTTATCGA